AAATCGGAAGTATTCCTGTTACCAGTGAACATGCTCTGAACTTTTTGTACGACACGAAAACCCACAATGCAATTATTGCACAAACATCATAAGATTATAAACATTGCTTTAGCGACCGTTTAATATTAAATCCCACAACTAGTTAATACCGGTATTCAGTATGCACAAATTACTTTAAGTATGATGACGTAACCGTAATTGATAAGCTTTTTCATAATCAATTTAGTATTAGTTTAAAATACCACAACAAAGTATAAAAAATATAAGATCACTGAATTTAAGTTTTAAATGCTGCAGCTGGGACACACAGATAGATAAATTTAGGAAATCTTACCGGAAACCACGTCATTTGTCGTCCTGCTAAAAAGTAACTGTTCACTGTGCCTCGTGTATGTCTCCAAAAAGCCTAAAAGGAAACATTAGCTGGTCGGTGCAAGTGTGAATCATAGTAAAAAAAATAGAGGTACTGTGAGCAATAAGCTCAGAAAATAATATCCCTGCCTCCCATATGATTATAATTGCTAAGTCCATCTTTTCTTGTAGGGAGACCCGAAATAAGTGTCAGATAAATAAGTAAAATTAGAGGTGTGAACTTATCATTTAATTTTATTAAGTGGTATCGGATTAGTTTAGAGAAGAAATGGGTACCCTTCAATATTAACGAAGAAATAGAAGCGACCCTCTTTAGCTATGGGAAACCCAAAATATGTGTCGAATCATAAAGTAAAATAGGAGGTCACAAAGGTACTAGAGTCAATGAAAATGTGAAAGTCTCGATAAATTTCAGTCAGTGGTATAAGAGATAGATACCCCAAAAAGTAACGGACGAACGTACAAACCGACGGACAGTCACCCTATCACTATATACACCCTTGCTTTCAATCGGTTATTTAGATAAATATAAATTTAAAAAAAATGTCTTAATCTCTACGGTAAAACTTGGCTATTACATTGTATATAGCTATCTTGAATACACATAATTTCTATCAAGAAAATACTTGTGGGACAAAAATGTTCTTTTAACCTGTTGATGTCTTTAAAAAAATCAAAGCTTTTTAAAATCATATGTTATTTACATTTATTATTTATAGGACATATAATCAATTTGATATATTCGTAAATTTAGAACATGTGATTTCTTTATAACCTTAAATTTTTTCAAAGATTTGTTAAGAATTTTATTTAAGATCCAAAAGGACTTCTTTATATATACATGTAATAAATATCCATTTATTTTCTGAATCCGTTCTAACCGATTTTTTTAATAAAAATATTATACACTGTATATAAAACTTACCCATAATCCTACTGATAGCACAAGCACAAAATAAATAACCACTACGACAATGTCTGACCAATGGTCCAAGCCTCTGGCGACCATTCTTGGGAAGTGGTGACCTTATTTTATCAGGAATCTCTCTCCCTGATGAAAGGTAAGCAAAAAGTCATAAATGCCTTCAACATAAGATAAAATCAAATGAGGAACAGAAATTCAAAAATTGTTAAAAAATTCTTTCAAGTGTCTTTGAACTAGACCATGGTGTCATGGAGGGGCTACTATAAATGTGTTATTTTTTGTTAGGCACCTCATTGCATCAGAAGATTTTAATCATCGTATGTTTTTAAAATACATATGTCATTAACCACCGACCCATAAAATATGAACGTATTAAAAAATAATATTTATGTTTGGTAAATGAAAACAACATAAAACTGGGCAGTTTATTGTCTTTTTTTATGAATTGAAAAAAAATATAGGGTTATTGAACTTGCGAGTGAATTTGTAGAGCCAGCGAGTGTGAAAAATCACCAATATAATTTCAATAGCTCCTTTAATATATAGCTAAATATATCTCATTAAAATGTGTGCCTAATTGATGAAAGAGAACAATTTAAAAAAAATGATAATTTGTTTATATAATAACCCGTCAGCTTTTTTCATAAACGATGTAAATCATTGACAAACACGTTGTTAAAACAAGAATATCATCAGTCTCGTTTAAAGTCTTCATTTTCTATGGTCGATACAATGACCTTGTCAGCAAATACAATTTATCATTAAGTCAAATGCTGACTAAAGTTTTTCAAACTCTCTGTTAGGCTTTTTTATACACATTGAGTTGTTCACGGATTTTTCGTTATTTCCCGATCATGTCAAGGGGCACACGGTGAGTGTGACTGGTCGTCAGGGGATACTCAATTATCTATGGCACCTGATTCCACCTCTGATGTTTTGGAGGTCCATGTTTGCTTTGCTTCTATTTTGTATTGTTTAATGGATTTTTGAGCTTGAGTACTGTTCGTTTTCTCTATATGTTTCATTGCAAGCATAATTATGAAATAGGGCATTAATTTTTCCAACAAAAAAAACTATTGCTAATTTATTTGGCATTAAGGTTCACTAGGGTTCATCTGGATTCACTTGAAAAGTGCAAATTTCATTGATCTGTCACATGAAATTTTAGCATTCTTTTGAGGTATCGGGTTCTTATGAAATAGGAAAGGAAAACATTTATCCAATAATGTTTGATTATGTTAATTGGGAAGATTTGTCATCTGATACCCTTCTAAACACATTTTTCTAAATGTTTGGTTCTCTATATCGTCTTTCCGTAATTTGAAAACGTTTAGTCCCATCCTCTAATTTGGAAGCATGCATAAAATCGCCTTCTTGAGTTTTTTTTGGAATGGAGATCTATAAATTTGAGTTCCGTCTCTTAATAATGCCCCTTTGATTGCACACTTCAGTTATTTATTATGTATGAATGTATGTTCGCCCAAAATAACATAATAATGTTAAAAATAGGTCAGTGATGACAGAATAGTTTTACATGTACTGCAAAATGAAGTATATCACTATTTTTTAAAAAGACGTAGGAAACATTTTTTTATAATTGAAAAAAAAATCCCACGAGAAATCAATCTGCAGGTTTTGTGGAGTTAATGATAAATGACATACATTTTTGACATGTGAACATTGTGATGAAAAAATGTGTCTTACCTTGCTCTTAATAATCTACGAGTGTTAGTTTTAAAAATCTGAACAAATCAAGATAAAGATAACACAAAAGGAAGCCATGCATGTATAATGAAAACACAGAAAGTCCGTGTGCTTGACCTTCTACTAATGGACTTTTATGAGAAGCACTGACTTTTACATTTGTCTGTTTACTTGGACATTTAAACATTCACATCTACGGAGGTACAGAATTGATAATGGAAAAGAAAATCTTTCTAGAGGTCATGGTTACGGTGTTTGGGGCACTTCTATACGGCGGCCTGGATTTGAGGATAAGATGGTTGTCATTTTCTTCAAGGACAACTTATCTGTGCTTTGAAATAGCCTCTTATTTTCGTTGAATTAAATGTTGAGCTAAATTATTATATCGTAAAAGAGCTTCCGTACACTGTCCTAGTGTGGGAGTAATTCGTCAACCGTAAAAGTCAGCGCTTCGCGTAAAAGTCCATTTGTAAATCTTTCTCTTAAAGAAGATACACTAGACAAATGCTAACGCACCATCTAAAAAAAAATATTTTACGTTGAAAACTTGTTTATAATGTATTTGATATACAATTGCAGATAAAACTTCAAATTACCCGCCCCTGAATGTAGGTGGCGCAAGCACCGTTAACGTTCAACTATCTTTTTACCTCCGCGATTAGAGATCACTTTCAATATCCGAAGGTATCAACTGTTGGGAAATAAACGCTATAAAACGACTGATTACGGTATTTGGTGTCTTAAAGTATCATAAAGGAATAACATCGGCGACGTGCACGATGCTTTGATCGAAACTGGAGCTTGTGGAAAGGTCTGTTCCGTATTTTGAGATTATAATCGTAATTTCCACAGTCAAATGGCAATCGCGTTTACCATAAAAATAAACACTGATGAAGGGTATAAGATTATACAGTATTTTATGAACATTAGAAATTAAATTCAATGTTATTGTAACATATTCTTATTCGTCTTACTTTATTTTTTAACGGGAATAACAAGTGATGTTTGCATGAACATTACACATACGTAGTAATCAGCTGGCAATGCCTGGGACGCATGATTTACAGTGACGCAGAGTGTAGCATGGACGCCCCTAGTACCTGAGTACTCAGTGTATGAAATTAAACAAGGAAAAATATTTCGCTTGGTTTACATTTTTCTGAGCTGCAGCATTTCATAGAATTAAAAAAAAACCTTTAGTAACCGAACATGTTGAGAGAGAGAGATGTGGGAGACGTGAAGGTGCCAGATTAAAGATTTGTCAGATCTAGCACAGGGCTTGCTTCCCTTTATCTAAAAAAAAAACTTTAATAATAAAACAACCCATTGTTTTATTATAACATATACTAGTATGATTTTTTTAAATAAATAAAATATTACACACCTGCAGCAAGTCCCCAGTGAAACTAGTCAAACTTGAAAAGATATTGACAAGGACATCTAAGTCCCTTTCTCTAACTGTCTTATGCAATATTCCTCTGGCTCTTACCACCAACTTTATCACGATTACCCTTAATCAATTAGAATTTCAACATTTTAAGGAAATAATAATTGACATTCCTATGAAACATTTTTACCCAGCTGATACTCGGTGTACCTCTTCAAATTTTTTTTTTCTAAATATCATGGGTGTGCCTAAAACAAACAACCAGGTTACCTGTAAGTAATTTCTGCTGAATATTGTATACAAATTTTGAAAAATGTATTACTGCAGAATTCTAAATAGGAGTGTGTATTAGTGCCCACAATCTAATTTAAATCAGATCTTTGTTATGTTCCGAATTTCTGATGGTCGCTGTACATATCAAAGATTGTAGCGACCATCAGAAATTCATGGGGTTACAAAGATCTGACTTTAATCAGATTGAAGTTCCCATAGTGATACATTTATATACATGATCATACTCTATATTATATTGACAGCCAAACATATATTAAGTAATTTACATGATAATGAAACCTTAACTGTATATATGACCTGTATATCTTCATTCTGCAAAGGTAATAATTTACCCAATAAAAACTTTTCAAATAATTTTAGACAACAGTTATATTGTATATTATTGTTTTATTATAATGACATGTGCAAAAACAACTAAATATGCATATGCTGAATAACAAATCATACACTTAAAATATTGTACCTAATTTTTAAAGCCATCTTAGACTTTCAAGTCCTATACTGTATGTTCAATCATAATTAAGAATTACATCCATTGTTTTTTAAGGAATCCTTCCATTTATCTTTGTAGAAAACTGTCATGACAGCATTTCAAATCCATAACATATCTCTTATTACAATATACTGCCCAGGCTAATCTGATGTAAAATGAGTCTAAGTTAATTCAATGGTTAATTTCCTCAACAATCTCGGATTCTCTGTCCAGACAAAAGGCCACCTTGTGGGAGTGTCTGCTTTTCTTGATATTTCAGTCAATTCCTAAAACATGAAAAATACCGAATTTACATTAGATTTAATTATTAATTTTTATGTCATAAATTATAAATAGATTATTTATTATAATGCCCTTGTATCTCCAAATAAAGATAAATGACAGGACTTTAAAAAGCTTTGCAGAGGGTCAAAATAATTAAAGCCTGCAATGTTAAAAAACAGTTTTTTAAACATTTTTTTCTTTTAAATTCTAACATGAAAGCTAAAGTGCAAGCCAAAAAATATTCTTCACATATTAAATTCTCAGACCCCAAGATTACAGTTTTGTCCCAAAATTTTCAAGTAAACTGCTGACTAATTAAATTGAGGGTAATCCTTGACAACTGTTACACGTATTCTAATTACATACCTTATTAAATATACATTCCAACTTTGTACTTCTTTTGCCTTATGGTAAATCTTCCTCAATTCCAAGCAAATATGGGAAGGATCAGGCTCTTGGTATCAAGGCTTGTAAAACCTTTAATTATACTGGTCCTATAAATGGTTAAGAAAAATATAAATTTACAGATTAAAATAATATGCTACATGAGTGTGAAATTTATATTTTAACTTCATGTGTATTTAGTTTAGTACTTAGATCAACATGGAGCAATAGATAATAAAAGAATAAAACTAATCAAAGTCATTTACACTCGCATTGTAGCTTTTCACAATTAAATCATTATTGATTGATATCTGTTCATAGTTTAATAATTTATTGTAATGTACAGCACGGATACGTTTGACACTGACCCCCCCCCCCCCCCCCATCATGTAAACATGTGAAAACGACACATAATTTACAGGATTTACTGAGCAAATATAAATTTTAAAGTTAAAACACTTTCTGAATACCAAAAATAAAATAAATGAGGAACATACCCCGGTTGTTGCTGTGATGAACGTCTCCCCGTAAGCATGTGGCACACCACCACAGGTGTCTGAAATCATCGAGGTTTTTGTAGCGAAATTCATGATCGGCTCTTTGTATGGCTGATACCTAGCGTTTCACCAACTTTTTATCTACGGAAAAGCTTAATTAACAACAGCTGAAACACTTGGGAATCCTAGAAAACATCGATGTATAATTGACAGTTTCACAGATTTGACGTGTTTACTTGCTACCGGAAGTGTTGTTGAACCTAAACGGTTGTGGCGCCACCTATATTTCTGCAAAGGGGCAAAACCGACAAATATCGGCAATTATGTTACCTTTGTTAAAAAAAATAAAGCAGATAAATGTTAAACCTTATAAATAATTAAAATGTTTACTGAAGCGTTACCAATACATAGAAAAAATTAAAATCTTGTCTATCCCATTTTCGAAGTAAAAAATTATATTTTTTCCTTTGTATTTGTGTATATTTTTACTAATTAAAAACGCAGAAAAAAGGTACACCTTATGCGGCGTTTGACGCTAGAAGAACGTGCTACAACAGACAGTATGGCGTCTGCATGGGTTTCCTAATAGCAAGATTATGAATTCCTCTCTCATGAACAATTTTTGTAAATAGATTGACAAACATAAAAATGTTTACATCTTTTTCATACCTGGCTATTTTACTTGAAAATGACGTTAATGGTAATCTAACAACCAAGCTCTATGATAAGGCTGTTTAAAATTAAAACTACGTTTAACGTCACCCGCGCGCGTAGGTTTATGAGAAATTCGTCTTTGAAAAAAACAAACAATTCGGAATTCCGTATGTCCGTTTCGGTTTGGTTCTTCAATTAGCGACTGAATTCTGCTTCCCGTAGTGACAGAAAATGTGCTTTGAGTTTGATAGCCGCAGTTAAGGCAGTTGAGTTGGTCAACTTGGTGTCTTATTAGTGAAAAGTAGAGAATTAAAGAGTTTGGGACCATAAATGTAAGTAAAAAATAGATTATTTTATGATTATATGAATGACAAAGTCTTGTTTGTTGATTTTTTTTGTCAGTCTTCGAATCATATGTACAGACTGACAGTGACAGACTCTCAGTTCGTGATTCTATTGGCTGAACTTTTCATTGTATTTTGGAGAGAATCAAAAAACTTTTTTACTGAGTGGAAACTGTGTCAAAAACCAAGATTTATATACAGTGAAAAGCATCATTTAAATCTTACTAATATGTTTCATATTAATTAAACGTGTTAAAAATATTTCTGTGAAAATCGAAAGGAACAGTAATGAGTAAAGTAATTGATTTCTTCATAATTTATGTACCTACAAATAGCTACAATTTTTGGGAAAGATAATATACTTGTCATAACCTTTTGAGCAGGGAGAAGCTTACTGAAGATAGGGCCTTTCAAGTGAAAGAGAGTAAGGAAAGTGGTTGGGTATTCCAAGATGTGAAGAATCCTGTCTTTTGTGTGGAATTCAAGGTATTAAAGATAATCTAACAGCTATCAGTATGGTCCAAATATTAGTATTCACACTTTCAAAACTTAATCTAATAGATCTAGTACTAAGAAAAAATACGACATTATTCAATTTGAGGATATTTCAACATGAACACTTTTAAATATTGTCATCAATAATTTTGATTGTAGATATTGATCAACTTTTCCCACAAGAAGAAGCATTTGCCTCCAAGGTACCATGGACGTGTGGCAATATAAATCCAAAGGACAACTGAGGCCTAGTTAAAAGCCACTTTCCTGCACATTCAGTCGTACACTACATTGTTTGCTAACAATAGGACTCAAACTGATTTACATACTAAGGAAAAACTCTGCTAGGGAAATTAATCTTAGGTGTCATTTCAATTAAATGCTCTTATTACTTAATTGTAATGTTTTTAATGTACTGAATAGGTTAATTTGAATAAATTCACAATTGTTTGAAAATTTTGTTTGTTTATTTTTTTCCTCTCTCCCTCATAGGTTTTGAACTTTAGATGTGACGTTAAACGTAGAATTAACTTTAAACAGCCTAAACGTGATGACTTTAACTTTTCTATCGTCAACTACTCTTACTTATGAAGCAATATACCTTCATCATCTGCATACGGAGTTTATATATCTCAGTTGATTCAACTCACAAGAGCATGCTCTACGTATGAACAATTTCTAAAATGAGGTTAATTATTGACAAACAAGTTGATGAGACAAGAATATCAACAGTCTCGTTTAAAGTTATAATTTCGTAAGTTCCAAGGTCGATACAATGACCTTGTCAGCAAATACAATTTATCATTGAGTCAAATATACTGATAGACGTTTTCCATACTAATTGCTATATTTTAATAAAATTTTAGTGTTCTTATTTACGTTTTAAAGTGGCCTGCACAGTGGAGATTATGTATTAATGAAATCTGTAATCCAGAAAAATCACAGCTAATATGTGAGATAGAAAATCCAACCCACTAGTATTGTCAGTACGTACTCAGTGGTGCGTGCAGAATTTAAAATATTGAACAGATCTGGTGAAACGCAATCTGTTTTGTTGTCAATGTTTACGTTTCACTTTGGACGACTCTAAACAAAATGTTTAAACAATATTGAAATATAGGCAATTTTATTTGGTAACGTTTCCTATTGGTCTTATCCTTTAGAACAAACGACACAGGTGAGTTCCCATCCATCATGGTAGGGAGGGCAGTTTAAGCTACCACATCTTGCTTCCACGGGGTAGAAGAGCTTCCCATGATAGTGTTGGTATCCTCCATGTAGAGTCTGCGGATCTCCATCAATACACGTGTATCTAGAGCTGCCCTTGTGGCCGTGGAAGCCTGACATCAAATATCCTTCATTCTCTTTTTCCAGCCAGAGTAAAATTGTTTTCTTGCTTGAATTTGAAAGAAGAAATCACGCTTTATATTACAGACCTTTGGATTGCTTTAATCAAACATACAAAAGGTATAGGATATTAAAACATTCACCTTTAACAACCCAAAGTGTTTGAAGTTAAGCGATCCGAAGGCCCGTGCTTTATACCAACATAAAAAAGAATAACCAACAGTATCTTTTGAGACCCTGGGTACACAAGTTTCAAGTAAGAAAAATCTTAGATATGTACTTTGCTCTACAATTTACAATAGGTGTCGGATCAAAAAGTAAAATAGGAGCACATAATGGCAATATGCAATAAAGATTCTGTGAAAGTTTCATCAAATTTCATTCAGTGGTATGAGAGAAGTTGAGGATAAGGGATGGGTACCCCAAAGCGTAACAGGCAGACGGACGGAAGACGGAAGGACATCCCGATTACTATATACCCTCCCGCTTTTCAAAAAATATAAAGTATAAATAAATCTTAGATATGTACTTGCTCTAACATTTATGAAAAATAATATTTTATGCACGTTTCATCCAACATCAGTTCCACAACCAACGAAAGCATTGTTGAGTATTATTGCATCGTTTATCTTATACAGAGGGCTCACGGTGAAATAACGGGTATACAGAGGATGTATGTGTTTCCCCACTTTCACTAGAAGTGGAGGGATATTAATTTGGGTCTGTCTTTTTTTCCTTAAGCGGGGGACACACACAATTTTTCTAAATTAACTTGTATTCTTTATCTGTTTTGTTGTACGCTATGTTTGTTTATTGTTTAACGTCCATCCCGAGAATTTTTTAGACATATTGGAGACGTCTATACTGAAAGTAAGTATATTCAGCACCCATTGTCATTTTGAGCAGCGAGGGAACTTTCTCGTAACAACAACATCTATGGGACCGTGGTTCATGCTGTATTATGTAAAAGACAGATCTTCACGTCCAATAGTAGATCTGTTTGTTATATCAAGCTAATAGTAATAACTTTATTGAATTTTTCATCTTTCATATTTTTCAAGTATAGTTTATGCATATCTGAAAAGTGTGCATCGTAACATATCATGGATTTCATGTCTTTACTTTTGGATTATTAAAACTTTTGAGAAAAAAAACGATTTCTTTTGATTAGAAAACCAAGCTACAACATTCTACGCATCCAAGCCCCGTGGGGATCCGGGTTAGAATAGGTCCTCAGTACCCCCTTGCTTGTCGTAAAAGGCGACTAAATGCGGCGGTCCTTCGGATGAGACAGTATAAACCGAGGCCCCGTGTCACATCAGGTGTGGCACGATAAAGATCCCTCCCTGCTCAATGGCCCTGAGTGCCGAGCATAGGCCTAAATTTGCAGCCCTTCACCGGCAATGGTGACGTCTCCATATCAGTGAAATATTCTGGAGAGGGACGTTAAACGGTATACAATCAATCAATCTACGCATCCAAGCTTTGGCGAATTAACAGGTTTGTGATGCATGGACGTGGCACGCAGTGCTTCTGTTTTGCTAAGCTTAAGTTTAGATACCTTCTACTTAATCAGTTAATATTGATGCAGTCAATAACCAAGCCAAGCCAATTATGATAATATTACAACTGTAGTCGTTTTATTTATTCAACTGATAAAAATTACTGTGCGGCATCGTTTTATAAGGAATATTTTTAAAATTATTCATTTAGTCTTGTCATTTGTTTTTTAGCCTTAACATTGAGGAAAGTGAAAGCTACATTCCAACTGAAATACTGGTTTTGTTACTATAATCTTAGAAGCAATCTAAAAAATGATTTTATTGTGTTGACCCAGTTATGGAGGTTACTTTGTAACACTACTGAGAGCAGTATTACATTTTCCTCTCTTAAATCTATGAATAGGTCTGCTGCTCAAAAATCCACGGATTCTATTACATGTGTCCCTGTGGTTTGATTATTGAATCAAATTATGTGAAATTATGTGAAAAATGCTATATATGTAGTTGATTAATGATGTATCATTTTCACCAGTTGTATTAAATAAAGTCGTATGAATTGGGCTAATAAAGCCTAAAAATTGTCTCTTTAGTCTTTAGCTCACCTGAGCTGAAAGCTCAAGTGAGCTTTTCTGATCACCCGCTGTTTGTCATCCTTCCGTCTGTTCGTCCGCCCGTCTTTAAACTTTTCACATTTTTAACTTCTTCTCAAGAACCACTGGGCCAATTTTAACCAAACTCGGTACAAAGCATCCTTGGCTAAAGGGGAATTTAAATTGTTAAAATAAAAGGCCAAGTCTCCTTCCAAGGGTAGAGAATCAAGAAAATGCAAAAATAGGGTGGGGTCATTAAAAAATCTTCCCAAGAACCACTGGGCCAGAAAAGCTGAAACTTATGTGGAAGCATTCTGAGGTGGTGTAAATTCTTAATTTTTCAAATTATGACCCCTGGGGA